GCTGAATTTAAAATTTTGATCTCCATTTTGAGGGCTTTTTATAAAGAATTCAGAAAAGGAAAGAGTTATTTTAAAAAGAACATCCTGTCAATAATCTTCCCTTACATTCATTTCTCATGTACATTAACTGTTCAAGAAAAGGGAATATGAAGAAAAAAAGAGCAGGGAATTGGCTGCAACAAAGTGTTTGTCTGTACTAAATTGATCTATTCCTTAAAAGCAAAATTCTTCTTGTACTGAAACAGTCTTTTTCCGGATGCATGCAGAAAGTCAGACCTGCCCATACCGTAACCTACCAGATAAGCTTATACTAGAACCATATCCAGCACATTCAGAAGGAAGAACAGCCTAGCGCAGCAGATAACACTGGTGCACATAACCATCTGTATAGCATTTCCCTAACACTTTCACATTTTGCCAGCACTGACAGTCCTGTCACGGAGCCCTTCGGTGTGGAATGTTATCTGTGCCCCACTATGCCAGCGTGGCTATCGCAGAGATTAAACCGGCTTGGAAACTCTCAGGGCCTGTGTTATACACAGACATGTCTGTACAACAGATTTCAAAATTTACTATCATCAATTATATAACTATATATAATATATATATCTGTAGTAACATCAGTTATGCGCTGAGGCCTGATGGTGTGCCCAGCAATCAAGAGCAAAGAAAAGTTTTGGGTCCTGCTTTAGAGAAAGTCCAATTTAATTCTCCCTGAAATCAGCGTCAGCAACAGCGGACTTCAACAAGCTTTGAATCAGGCCTTAAAGATTACTGGCAAAAAGCTTGAAAAACACGTAATGTGGTGTGGTTTTGATCTCATATTCATGATCTGGACTGAAATGTTTTATCTGGACACTGAGATCACAGAAACAGAGAAGAAAGAACAAAGAAATTCTCAAGGGGTCACCTCGTGTGCCCTGCCCCTCCTCCAAGGTGGGCTCAGCTAGACCTGAGCTGCGCGTTGCAGATGTTTGCCCCCATAAGCACTTCTTCACCAGTGTCTACAGCAGAGACAGAGGGATGATCAGAAAACACAAGAACTAAAGAAATAGGGTTTTTATGTACTCAGAAAGCTTAGAATGCTGAATTACAGTGTGTTCAGATCTTCCTCACCTGAATTTTTTTCTTTGAGTTCCCCAGCAGCAGGATCAATCCATAAAACAGAGAATGTCCTTTAAGAACCATGCAGCAGTTTCTGTATGAAAACATAAATATAAATTAGGCAAAGGCATTTGACCAGGGACATGAATTATAGTAGATGTACACGTTCAGGCTTTGTCTAATTCAACTAAAATCAGCAGATTTAGACTTAAAAATAATTTGGCCCATATTATTACAATACAAAAAATATATGGTGTATTTATAGCCTTGGTCTCTCCAGCTGTGTTGGTTTAGGTTTTATTACATCAGTAATAACAATTTATGTGATACTCTGAATAAAGTGCTATTAAAAATTCAGTACAGTATATACTGTTACCCATGGGATTTAAACTGTGGGAGCTATGTGTATTATTCTCTACTTTGCTATTTCTATAGGAGTGAAGATTACTATAAAAATGGTTAGGTTATATACACTGTGTGAATTCCTGCTCTGCTTGAATCCAGGTGAAAAGAAGAAATAGTTGAGTGCAGACTGCCTTGGGGTAAGGGTCCCAAGGGTCTTAGTCTTGCAATCTAAGGTTACACTGATCACATGTTCAAGCATGAACAATAATATCAGCGTGCTTTTGGATGTCTTTAAAGAACGCCAATAGATTTGTGAGGCATAACTTCCCTTAACAGAATCCATTTGATGCTTCTACAGAGTATCAGCTTTATCTGTGTCTATTGATTTTATTCTTTACAACAGTTCATCTAATTTTCCTGGCATAGAAGTCACATTGACAGTTTTGTAGTTCCCATGATCACCTTTGGAGGACTCTTTTGAAAGACCAGTGGATCAGTGGTATGTTTCCTATGTTCTATTTTGCTGGCATTAGGATCAGGTTCAGCAAAAAAACAACCCACTGGCACTAGCACTTCAGTAGCTGAACGTTTGAATCCCTTGACAGAAACACTGCACAGCTCCAGCAATTAGTTACTGTTTAACTTATCAATTTCTCTTGAAGTCTTTCCTACTGACAATTCATTTTAGGACAGTTCCTCACACTCAGCCCACCTAACATTTGGTTCTTTAGCAAGGCAAATAATTCTTTTAGCTTTTTAGCTGTGGAGTTAGCCACCTTGAATGCTTCTTCTATACTTTCATCGTCTATAGCTTTACTTACTGTCTTGCAGGACTCCTCTGGTGATGGAATTTGAAAAAGGTTATATTATTACTTCCACATTCTTGGAAAAATCTTAAAATCTTTTTGGTCAGCTCTGTTGTGGTTCTACATTTAATATGACAGAATTTATGCTCTTTCTATGCTCCTTGCTTATATATGACTTCCATTTTTGAAGGATGTCTGCATTTTCTTCCCTCAGATGCCACAGTTGTCAATATTTATGGATGGCACTGCCAGTATCCTTACCATTATGACTCTGGGAGCAGGGCCCAGGTGAGGAAGATCTGTAGAAAACAGTAATCACAGTGTATTTTCTTTCCATTGTTCAACCAGGTGGTCCATTGCATGTGACTAAAAGGCAGTAACACAGAGCATGGATCACATGGGTTAGTAATTAAGGTCAAAGCTTTCATGGTGTTTATCTTTACATTTTACTTGTCTTTCTTGTAACGCCACGTACATATTTCTTAGATTTGGGAAATGTCTTTAGAACCTCTTTCTGAATACAATAAAAGGAGAAACAATTCAAATTTTCTGTGTTGCCCCCTCTTCTCTTTGAAAATGATTCCAAAGTGTAGCAGTGACTTTAAATTGCCAATTGTCAAAAGCGGGAAGGATTTACCAAGGGAACAATCATGCCCTATGTATTCTGTTCTTCTATGCTTCCTTAGAGCATCTGCTTGAATCTGGTTACGGAGCTGAGGAGGACCTTTGGTCTAACTTGGCATCACAGTTCTTATTAATGGAGTTAAATCATATGAGTTCTATAAAGCGTTGAAGAAAATCCAAAGAAAGCAAACGTAAAATATACATATTTGTGTCAGTTCTCCACCTTGTAAAGACAGAAAATTGTTATAAGGAAGGCAATGTGATCTGGACAAATGAGTAGGGGTTTCTGTCTCTGACATGTTATCGCCCTATTGTTAGTTGAAAAATAGCGTTAACGCCTTCACACCTGTTATGAGACTAAACTAAGAGGTATCTGCATACTACTCTGTGAGGGAGACCTGCATTTGCACAAGAGAAAGAACTGCTATGGACAAACAACTAAAAATTGCTTTCATAAACGTATTTGTTTATTTCTCATTTTCCTGGAAGAGAGGAAGTGGTTTATCTCATTGCTGCTGTAATGAATGGCCTCCCTAGCATCCTCCCTCAGTTCTACTGTATACACAATTCTGAAAGACTTCTCTCACAGACATAATAAACATATACTTTAGCATGCTGTGATAATTAAGGTCCTGAATAATATCTTTGTTTTGCAGTGGTGTAGGGTAAAGGTTTTCAAACTGCCGTCCACAGGCTATTTTCAGGGGCTTCCCAGAGGCAGCTCCCAGCTGCCTGTGCAAGTGCAGGCCTGCGCTACAGGCAGGGCCTGTAGTGCAGGACCTGTAGCACTCCTACAACACACCGTGCCTGCTGCTGCACAGGTGCTCACCCTGACTCGTGCAGCACCAGTACAGATGCAGTCATCTCATAATTCATCAGTTATGTGGCTTTCCACAGGCCAGCATTTTCTGCATCAGCTAAAGGCAGAGTGGCATTTGAATGCAGAGGCAGAGAAAGGTGAGTAAAAGGACATGGAAAAGCAGTTAAGGATTAAAATTGGGTGGTGGGGGTGAACTGGGTGGTTAAGGGATAAAACTGGTGGTGGTAAGGTGACTACAGCTGCAGGGAACATGCATCAGGTCCTAGCCTGAGGCAAGGAAAGAGCACTGACAGGATAACAGAAGGGGCCCGTTTGCCCAATCCTGTAAAGCTCTGTCCTATTCACAGAATACAACAGTTCTGAGAGAGCTAAACATATTTACCACCAGTGTGAAAAAGGTTTAGGACAGATACAAACCAAGGCACCAAGCATCTACAACACATGCCAAAATAATCTACCAGAACTGGGCTCAGGTTTTGGTGTCAAGTCAAATGACAGAAAATACTTGTAAATCAACCAGGCGGCACGTTAGTCAAGTCATTATCACCTCTGATAAAACCATTCAAGATGCTTAAGAGATTAAGAATGTAATATTTTTCTCTAGGAGGCCCAATTCTTTGAGATATTCAGCAACTTCATGTCTTAAGACCATGGAAAATAATATTATAATGCTTCATATTGCAGCACCTATGCACTTTTAAGCTAAACATATTGGAGACATATAGGCACTCAGTGCCTCACTTACTATACTGCATTATAGGGAGCCACTGGACCGAAGCAGATTTCATTAAATGTTCCTAATTTATTCTGCCTCATTGCTCTTTTGTAAATAGGGCGGGTCACTAGAGAGCAAGGCATTTAGTCCAAAAGGAGTATTGTGAGTGAATATACAAATTCAACATACTACACCAAGGTAAGATTCCTCATTAGCCACTGAAATCCCTCAGAAGTGACAAGATAGGAGCTGTTGTTTACAGGGTAGAGCACAGCATTCTCACAAGCATTCACTCTCTCTTACAACCTCCCCTTGAAAAGTTTCTGGATAGCCAATAGTAGCATGGTTTAAATCCCAATCTAGGTCAGAGAGAAATTTTCAACCATATTTTGGTTCCTTACTTTGTGGTTTCTCTTTTTGCCTTTCTTTTTGATCAGGGTGACAGGAACAACGTTTTATTCATTTTTACCAGAAAAAAAGTAACATAGCAGGAAAGGTAATGATTAATCCATTCTACAAGAAAAAAGAAGAGTTCTGATTGTGAACTTACTGGTATTATCTAACCAGTATAAATAGAAGCGTGCTCAGAGAAGGCACAGGATGGAAAACTCATGATGAATTGTTAGGGCATGTTGAGTTGGTTCTGTCAATGCCTGCAGTCAGATGATTTCACTGGCTGTACAAGATGAAATCTCATATTTCAATGTATAAGTAAAAGTGTCAAAGTTCAGCTGAAGCAGGGACGAATACAGAGCAAATTTTGTGTGTATTTGTAACTAGGGCACCAGAGCAATAGAGGAAGCCAAAATGAGCCGGAAAAGCAAAAGGAGTTTAAAGGAGAAATTTGCCTTGAAGAACAGCTTGGTTAAAGAAGCCCTCTCAGAATTCCTGGGAACTTTTATATTGATAGTAAGTGTCAGCTGCTTTCCTTTCTTCCTACTAATCTGATGTTGGACAGTGCTTGTAAGGGGACATGTATGCTTTTTCTTGTACTGTACCAGCAGCGTGTTTACTGCCTGACAAACATTGTACAGCCTTGAATGAATTGCTTCTATTTATGGTAAGTTTGTAATTCCTTTCTTCACCTGATGTAATTATCACTGGCTATTAAAAACAGATAGCTTTATATATTACAATTGTCTGATAAGCATTTGATTTCATATAGGAGCAGAATTTCAGTGAACTACCAAATTCTGAAAAATCCAGATATGCACAATGAACGTTGATAATACTCTTGCTTTTGTTTTTAAAAAACTCAGCAGTTTATTCTACTTTCACTTCTATGCACAACTTCTATTTGCTTTAACAAACATACCGTATTGCACTTAAGAGAATTTTAGCTGAGTTATTTTCCTGTGCAATATGGAAATTTAGCTGTGTGATTTGTAGTGAATTTATTGGGAGTTGCATTGCCAAACCTTCAGAGATTTTGTAAGTTAAATATTTTTGTTTTGTTTTTAACTGTACTACATAAATTATGCAGTTGCTTCGTTCTGTAGTGCTGCTACAATTTAGGTAAATACCAAAACTCCCCATTTTCATATCCCCAGATTTCTTTTACTTAATTTCTTGCTCCATTTTCCTGTGCATTTTGCACTGGGACACAGAGCTGTTTGGTGTACCAGGGTAGACAGCAGGCTCAGTAGCAGAGCTGGAAGTCAAGCAGCTGGAGTATTTATGCCAAACTCTTTCTTCCTCCTTTTAGTCTGAACAAGACAGTCTTGCTTATTGCTAAATATTTCATCACAGTGAAAGGACAGAAAAAAATAAGAAGCAGGCATAGTACTGACATAGTATATTTTATAACTGTAAGTATATTAGCTAAATTTCAAGTAAGTCATCTAAAAAATTCCAGTAGCTCATAAAATACATGAAAATAATGGTCTTTACTACACTTCAGCCAACTGAAGTGCACAGGCACTAAAGTAACATTATTCTCAAATTTAATACCATCCATAAGACGTTATTACAGTAAGGGGCACATTTAGAAGCAAGGAGCACAAAGCACTTTACAAACATTAATGAATTAAGTGTCACAACACCCTGGTAAGGAGGGGAAATGTCATTATCTTCTTTTTATATATTAGCAAACCTGATTACAGCAGACTGCACAGGAAGCCTGTGGCAGAACTCTGAATATAACCCAGATCACCTGACTTCCAGTACTCTGTCCTCACCACAAGATCATCCTCCTTTTTCCATTAATACAATTAAGCAAGTGAAGAAAACATATTAAAGTACAGATTAGACCACAAATGCTATTATTTAATGTCCTGCTGCACAAGACTAGAAGGAAATGCAAACCCCGAGCCCATTTTCTAGTATATTCACCATATGAATCTAGTAGAAAGTGAAGCTACAAAATTGTTGTTGATAATCTGAGTTTCTCAATTCTATTTTATCCTTTCTAATTTCAACCTTGGCTTAAAGCAGAGAAGAGCCTCACATGGATTAAACTGCAGCTTTCTCAGTGCTTGGATACCTTGATTTATGTTTAGACTGTTCAAGTTAGCAGCAGTACAAAGCATTTATTTTGAAGAAACTGACTTTTCTGCTGTTATTTATTGCTATTGCTTTTAGGCTCTGTCAGCTAGTAAGTAGTTTCTCTTTAAGAACAGGTAAATATTAAACCCTTAACTTAAATTGGAGCTAATGAAAGGGGCACCCTCATAACTCAGAGGGCAGAAATCCTTGAAAAACAGACACCATGTATGCAAAAGAAGTGATAGCTTTCTTCCACCATCCTATTACTATGTCTTAATCCTGTTACAAAGTGAAAGTGAGACGAGAGTTCACAGCCTTTAGCACAGTTGATTCAGATCTTTGCTGAAAGCCATTTCGTGTCATTATGATGGGTTTTACAGCCTGTGGGGAGCACCTGCGCCAGGGAGCAAGGCAGGGACAAACCTTTCTGTTACCCACAGGCTCTGTCTGGAAGTCAATACTAACTGACCGTACCCAAATCTGTGACCAACCTAGCACCTCTGGAAGTTAGCCAGGTGAAATTCTGTCCCCCCAAATCACCTATTTCTGTTTTTCCTGGAGAACAACATCACAGACCACATACTATTAAGAGCTTAAACTACCATCTTTGGTAACTCTCAAGCCTTGCAACATTATTTTCCAAACTGGAAAATGTACAAACAAAAGATTAATTTCAGGACATCTAGAAAGTGAAATCACTCATCAGGCAAAAACCAAGCCTTCACCTGGGGGTAAGAGGGGCTCTGCCTCCTATGTTGAACAGATTTGAGACAACAAGCCTTGAGAAAGTCACTGGGTATACAGTTTGGATAACATCTCTTGGTCATCTCTACTTAATATGCTGTGGTTTGCCTTGCAGCATGGTCTCAGAGCATGTAAACTGAATTCTTTTCAGATGAAACTAAGGTGGAAGGTGAGCTCCAGAATCACAGCTAATGTGCTGACCATTAATGGATGCTCAGTCCAGTGGATCAGATTGGAGATACTCCTAAGTAATCCCTCCTGAGGTATCTATAGTCAGGTTCTCTGAACCAGCTGCTTGCACTGCATGACTTGATGATATAGACATAGCCTGTGTGAGCCCCCCTCTCTGTTTTTCAAAGCACCTGATTTCAACCTCTTTGAGGGTTCAGTGGGGAACACTAAACTCTAGGAACCTGGAAGTGCCCTGCTGTACAGGCAGATCTGATGGTATACAGAGCAGTTGCTGTTATCACTTGTCTGCGTGATCCTGCTGGTGATTAGGCTATTTTACTCTTAAACCTATTGTGCTGGGGGAACAAGTATTTCTTTCAGTATCAAGCCTTGAATTATTCCCCAAGGCATAGCACAGCTTCTTGAATTACACTCTACAACAAGAACTGGGGCAGAAAACCCAAAATGTACAGTCCATAACCAAATGCAAATTGCATGTGGTTTTGGTTACACTGAGGTTTTGGTTACTGTCGTATTCACTTTTGGAGGTTCCATCAAGCTGAGAAAAAGAAAATGTTGCACTTCACCTCTTATGTGATTTCTATAGAACAAATGGAGTGATGCAGTTTTAGTGTAACTAAGTTACACAGGCAATGAGGATCCCGCATTATGCTGGGTATTTATATTTGCAGATTTGTAAACTCCTGCCCATTTCCTGCATTTACCTTGGTGCTGTCACATGGTAACCCCCCAACCTGCAAAGTTTAATTGTGTCATTTGTAATTTAGAATAAACATCCACAAAAGACACCATCTACCCATGAAGTTTTCAATGAGCATTTGAAAATGAGGCAACTGTTTTCCAGGAAATGGATACTGAGTAACGGTGGGTTTTACACAGTATGTTTGGAACCAACTTGTGGGACTGGTCCCTCCAGCCTATACCCGTGGAACAGGTCCCTGAGGTGGGAGAGCACCAGTTTGTACCATGGTGGCTGAGAGGCCAGCGCGCACACACATTTCCCAGCCTCTGACACAGCCTCAGCCTTCTGTAGCCGGGGCTGCCCCTGAGGCCTCCCTTGAGAAAGAGCTCTCTGGAGAGCTTTTTGTTCTCCAACATGTCTCCTGATTCAGTACATTTCCACTTCGGGCTCCTGTGGGTTACTCTGGGGAACAACATCTGGGTGCCATCACAAAAGAGTCAAGAAGGCATGCTGCATCAGATAGACGGTTTGTGTGACTTTTCAGTGTGTGTCTCTGGAACTCATCTATCCAACTGCCTCTCTGCTCTTAGTCATGCTTCTCTCCATATTTCCCCTTTGGAACTTGGCTGCATTGTTCTCAAACCAAATGGGATTTACTCTGGCTTACACCATTAAGTATATCTGAATTGGAACTGTTCCAAAAAGAGAAGCCAAATGGGCCATGTGGCTTCCTTTACTGGCTACTGCTCACCTAACATAGTTTGTATCTCATTTTCACTCTCAAGAGCATCTTACTAAACAGAGTTTCCCAGAAAGGAGCTGCACAGGAGCCAGGATCTCCTGAGTCCAGAGCAGTGTACACTTCCTTGCTGAAACAGAACACAAGCTTCCATCCAAGCATATAAAGACAAGTGGGTAGTATATATATTCCTCTCCCAAAGCTTAGTCTCCAACTGGAGGTGGGGAGCCTCTTGCAAAACTCCCACTGAAGCATTTGTGTGTGCATAGAGGATGCAGTGCATGAGCATGAATTGAATGCATGACACCCCACGCTGCAAATAGTTCAGCTAATGAGAAGGAAGGCTATTTATCTTCTGCTCATCAAAATCTTTTTGTCTTGTTTTCATATTCTGACCACTTCATTATGTAAGTTATCACTCCTGCTTTGTTGGGGAGTTTAGTCTTGCCTGAAAAATCTTTAAGTATGACATTCCATAGATTTGCTCAGTCCAGAAGATTAAAATTTAAACAACTTTTCCATATCTTTCTTTTAGTGGCCCTACATTCCAGTGCACATTAATTACAAAACCGTACAGTAATATATATCCCTTATTCCGAACATGCGTTAGAATCCTCATTACATGATGTTATTATCTGAAAGCAAATGCAGCTTTTGATCATTTACCCCTTAAATAAGTGTTTAGTGTTTAATACAAAATTACTACTTAGAAATTTTAAACAAAGATAAATTCTGTGTTCTAAATTTTTGTGAAAGGGAGACTCTTTCTTTGTATAGGATGAAATTGCTTACAGTGAGTTTTGTTTAAGGTACAAAATTAAATAGCAGTAGCCTCTAACAGCTACCTTGTTTGCCATCAGCCATGAATTTCCTGGAGTACAGAATCTTGTCTAATTAGCTCTCAGACAGTGAATTTAAGTTTGTCAAACTAGATAAAAAAGGTTATTAAAACATATTTATAATTGGTATTTTGATATGTCACTCAACAGCTTTTTAAATACTATATAATGCTACAAATACCATGGGCCTTAGCAATGTTTGCACTCTGAAAATTGGCTCTTATGTCACAGAGATCCATACATTAGGGTCTCTAGCAGCAATACTATAGTACAACCAATAAATAGTAGAAGTAACTCATGAATCTAATGTAATAGAATTTAACCCTGCACTTCCAGAACAAAACCGCTCATTTTATGGGAATAAGATGCTTCCTTTCCCT